GAGTCCCCCTCCCCTTCAGTCTCTTCTTGCCCAGGAACTTGTGATTTAAAAGAAAAAACCAAAAACAGGGAAGAGCCTGGGCTTGACTCTAGCACGTCCCCCACTTGGCTGCTAAGGAGGTCTAGCCTTGGTTACATCAGCATTCACATTCACCCATCAAGAACTTGGTCACAAATGCTAGGTGTAACGATGGCGTATCTAGGTGCCATGACAACTTGGCATCTGCACTTTGTTTAGTCCTGATTAATCAGCTTTGAAACATTGAAGCTGGAGGCATGCGAGTGGGGCATGCATGGAGGCTGGACAACAGGAGGTAAATGTCAAGCTGAGGTGACTCCACTCGTTCTCTAAGCTCAAGTGATAAATAGAGCATAGCTGGAGAATGCTGGGAAACAGAAGGCAGTGATGGCAGAGAGAGAAACTTTAGTGGGCAAGACTCAAAGCTGGGGTGGGGGTGGGGGTGGGGGTGGGGGTGGAGAAGCTCACTTTGTGCAAAAGCATCAAAGAGTCTAGGCAAATGAAAAGCCCGTGGCAGCAATAATAATAGGCCCACAAATAACAGCCCCAATCACACACCAAAGGGCATGCTTTGCATGTATTCGGAGGAAAAAATGTACATAATACCTATCTAGCCTTTTCAGTCGCAGACATCATTAGCATTATCTTTGCATATAAATAACTGTTAATGTCCTATAAAGCCCAGAAAGATCAGAGCGCTCTCCATTCTTCTGTTGAACTGTCACTTGCTAACCCATAATTCATTTTGTTTCCTGCTGGCTGATGTTCTCATTAGGATCCGTGGGTATATTCAATTCAATTCAACTGACATTTCCTAATCCTATATAAGATGCAAGGTAATCCACAAGTATTGATGAAATACTTACTATATACTAGGAACTGGGAAAACAGAAACAAAAATGAAGCAATCCCTGCTAGCAGGCTGCTTACGTTCTATGGAGAGGAAATAACGTACAAACATGAGTAGACAAAAAATAAATATAAAATATTTTTATCTCCTTTCGAGGGTTCGGAAAAGTCCTCATGTAGAAGGTAGGGCTTGAACTGACTTTGAATAAATGAATGAAAGAAAAAGCATTTATTCAGCTTTATGTGCCAAACACTATACTAAGTGCTGGGGATACAAATACAAAAGTGACACAGGCCCTGCCCTCAAAAGGCTTATATTCTAACAGGGAGAGATAACATATATGGGAGAATGCTGGCCAGGCAGAAATATTTTGGTTTGGGGAATCACATGAGCAGAACTAGAGGGAGTTGATAAGTCATTTCTAGTAGCAATGGCACTTTGGGTTTGATTGCTGTTTTCAGAGAAAGAGGTGTAAAGGGGGACGAGATACATGCCAGCAGTGGCAAAGCAGACAAGTAAAAAGATGGCAGGGATGGAATGTGAAGAAGAGGAGGAAGAGGAGAGGAGGAAAGAGCCCAAGTACTCTTCCATTTAATTAGTGAAGAGAAGATGAACAGCAGAGGAGGTAGAGAGGTGACAAGTCGAGGAAGGAGGAGAACCGACAGAAAGCAGTATCACAAACTTGAGGGAAGAGAGCACATGAAAAAAGAGGAGGATGGTCCCAGATTGTAGAAATGTTGATGAAGATGAGGACCGAGAAAAAGTCACTGAATGTGGCAGTTAGGAAGTCATTCCTAATCTTAAAGAGCAGTTTCAGGAGCGAAGAAGGGATGGATAGCACATTGCCAGGACTTGAGAGGTAATGAATAGTTAACATATTGACTGTATCTTCTAATTTAGTAAAGGGAAGGAGTCATATAGGACAATAACTTGAAAGAGTGGCATGGTCGAGGGAAATTTTTCTTTTCTTTTTTCTTTCTTTTCTTCTTCTCTTCTTTTCTTTGCTTTTCTCTAGGATAGGTGAGTGTTGATAGTTTTTATAGACAGAAGGAAAGGAGCCGGTACAGAGAGATTGATGCAGGTGGTTAGATTGGGCTCTTTTCCCCAAAGGAGAAGAAGGGAGATCTGGAAATAGAGACAGCTATAATGACTGATGAATATCCATGAGTGCAGCCCCTTGATACCAAAGGAATTCTAATAACCCCTCTATGTTGAACCTTGTCTGACCTATTCATAATTGGTTTATTCAAAGGTCCTGGGGTTTGTTTGTCCTGCATTGGGCAAACTATCTCATTTCCTCAGTAGAAAACCTCAAAAGTCCTAACCATAGGCCATCTGGAATTGGTCTACTAAATGGATAGAGCCAATTTCCTGGGTATGTGGCTTAATTTTCCTGAGCCAGACAAAAGCTGGGACCCAGGATGGCAGGGAGCAGATGCATATTTCTTCTTGTAAGAGTGAGTGTAATACCAGTTGTTTGTATGCTATCAATAAACCCTGTAATTAAATTACTTTTGGCTAGAGGAAGGGTCAATACATTTTAAGGGCTGGTGGGCAGAAGAAAAGGTGGGTGATGATGACCCAGGGACATTTTTAGCTATGAAGACCAGGAGTTAAGAGAGCTCACTGTCTCACTGTGAATGGTCCTATTACTCTGATTCAAATGTTATTTGTTGAATTTAGTATTGAGATAGCTTCCTCTTATTTTTTTGTTTCCCCATCTAATTGATGGGTGGTTGTTTTAAGGCAAATTAAACTCTTCAATTAAATTAAAATATTTATAAACTTCTGAGTGGTGGTAAAGGCCTTTCACAATCAATCTCTAATCTACCTGGCATCATCTATGTTCAAACCGACCCTCCCTGCACCACCACCACCCCCCCACCAGATACCTAGGTCTAAATGATTTCTTAATATTCCTCAATTTTCTTATACTATTTTTGCATTTATCCCATCCTTTATTAAGCCATTAAAGGAGTTTTACAATTTCCCCAAGGTAATCCATTCCACTCTGTTTTTGCGCCCAACTCCATGATCACTTACACATTCTGGTGCATGTCATATTTGGGCAATAAACATTCTTCATCTGCTTGATCTTTCCCATGTGAATGGTCAGGCCAAACTCTTTTGGAGTGGTTGTAGATATCCTCCAGGAGGCACTGCACTGCTCTGGGGTTTGATCTAACAATGTCATTAACAAATAGGAGCATTTGGAGAATTTCACTGAGTGAAGATCCTTCAACTTAGATGCTGCAATGAATCTTTTCCATCACAATGGCAAACATCTGTGGCAAGCATACACCTCTAGGTTTTATGCTTGGCTGGATATTTATGATCAGAGCATTTTTCTAAACAGAATTATTTCTGGTTTTATATCTTTTAAGTCATCTTGAATGATTTTGAAGGGAAGCATTGTGGTTCAGTGAAAAGAATGCTGAAGCTGGAGTGCTGAATTTGAAATCGTGAGATCTGAGTTTGAATCCTGGTTCTGCCTGTGTGACCCTGGGCAAGGCACTTAACCTCTCTGAGCCTCAATATCCTCTTTAGTTAAATGAGGGGTTTGGACTAGATGACCTTTAAGGTCCCTTCTAGTACTAAATCTATGATTCTGTGAGGTATGGTCAGGAGAAACTTTGTTGGAAAAGAGACTTTAAGGAAGCACTTTGTTCTCCTTCTTGGCTCTGAAATCTTGAACAAATCACTTAACTTCTGTCTGCCTCAATTTCCTCAACTGTCAAATGGGGATATTAATAGCACCTGTCTCCTAGGGTTGTTGTGAGGATTAAATGAGATAATATTTGTAAAGCTCTTAGTATACAGTTCCTGGACCATAGTAGGCACTTAATAAATGCTTCCTTCCTCTCTCCTTTCTCCCTTCCTTCCTTCCTCCTTCCTTTCCTTCCTCCCTCCCTTCCTTCCTTCCTCCCTTCCTTCTTTCTTTCCTTCCCCTTTTCCTTCCTGTTTCCTCTGCATCAAATGCTTTTTCATAATCAACAAATAATAAGCAGTGACATCTCCTATTCTCTCCATCTTTCAGTCAACTGCAAAATGGTAAAAATATCAACTCTTGAATACTGCTTGTAAAAGCCTCCTTGTTCCCTACTAACACCCTCAATGAAGCTGTTCTTGATTTCTGTATAAAAGATTTTGTATCTTTGTATATGGGAGAATGGGTCTATAGGTTCATAATTAATGCTTTCCTGTTTGCTTCCTTGTTTTTGGTATTAAGAAGTTCGGAAACTTTTCCCACTGCTTTGGTGCATTTCCTTCCTTTAGATATTTTGTGTATCTATCCCTCAATAACTTCACAATTGTGTCATTTCTAGCGCAGCTCTCCTCTCTATATACTTAGTCCAATTCGGTTACTTTTACTTCTCTTTGCTCTCTTTAGTGCCATTTCTACTACCCCAATAAGGACATCTGTAATGTCAGGATCCAAATACGATGGCCCAACTGCCCTTACCAATACTTTCCTAATTGCCAAATCCAGCAGTCTCTCTTTAGGGTTCATCTTCCTTTAATGACTGCAAGTTTCCCATGGAAACAATAGCCTGCCTTTTTCATATTAACATTCCACTGGTGTTCCTATATGACAGTGAGACATGGAATACAATATATTCCAAAAAGTTTAAAATGAATAACACAGAGAGGATATTGAGAGGAATATGGTGGGTATAAGCAGGATGCAACATATGATCAAAGAGGAATTTCAAAGAATAGGAGTAAAGAGGCTACCAGGGACATGTTTGATGGGAAGAAAAGATAGACTGGTCATATGGTGAGAGTGAGGGATGACAGACAGACAGAGTGTTCCATTGGTACCCTAATGATGTTAAGAAAAAGTGAGAAAGACCTACAACATATTGATTGGCCCTCCTATGTTGAATTTATGGGATGACGTGGATAAAAGCTGCATGCCATGGGCAGACCTGGTTGTGATCTACATTGTTGGAGTTCCCTTGCAAATCAAGGAGATCAGAAATCCATTTTAGTATTCTCTTATACTATACTTATTTGTAGACTTATCTTTCCCCTCATTAAATGGTAAGCCCCTCAAGAGAAGAATCTCACACACACACATACACATACATAAACACACAATATACATATCACACATATCCAGAACACTTACCTTCTTATTCTAACGCTAAGACAGTCAATAGAGCTACCCTATTTCAAAATGCAAATGTCTCTTGTATTAAGTAAACTTCAGATCCTGGAGTGGATGAATATCTTTGGTAGTGATGATGGTTCATATTTCCCTTGTGTGTGATTAGGAGGTTGCTCAATTCTGTTTTTTCCTGGAGAGAAAAGAAAAACTGTTAGTGAGGTTCTGAAAATCAGAAAACATACTGAAGGTGCTCTCATAATATGCAGCATTTTTTCATATCTGGGAACTTAAAAATTCAGATATAACTTTTTGTAGCAGCCTAAAACTGGAAACAAAGGTGACCATTGGTTGAAGAATGGATGAATATACTGTGGCACGTGAATGTAGGGCACCAGTGCTGTTCCATACACAATCATGAATGCAAGGCATGAATGGGGCAGCTAGGTGGCACAGTGAATAGAGCACCAGGCATGGAGTCAGGAAGACTAATCTCTCTGAATTCAAATCCGGCCTAAGACACTTACTAGCTATGTGACCCTAGGCAGGTCATGTAACTCTGTTTGCCTCAGTTTCCTTATCTGTCAAGGGAGCTGGTGAAGGAAATGGCAAACCATTCCAGCCTCTTTGCCAAGGAAGCCCTAAATGGGGTCACAAAGAGTCAGACATGACTGAAACAATCAACCACAACAACAGCAAAAGTCATTTAGGCATGCTTAGAAAGATAGGTGAAGCCAAGCAGAGGGTTTGAATAGAACCAGAAGGACAAATATGCTTAGAGGCTATAATTGTGCAAATTACACTAAAGGGCTGCCCAACTCAGGTTACTGGCATTGACCACCATTGGTCCAAGAGAACAAAGGATAACATCCCTCCCCTCAGTAGAGAAGCGGTGTGGTGGGGGGTTGGGGGGGATGGGGGTGCCCTACAGGAGCAAACTATGGCATATGGGGTCAGACTTGGTCATCTTGTCAGTCTTAGCTGTTTCTCCTTTGGTATAAAGGAGGATTTAATGAGGGGAGGGGTATCACAAGAAATGACTGGTGCGGAAAACAAAAGGCATCAATAAAACTTTAAAATGGTATTTTTTAAAAACTGTGCTTGAATAAAGATAACTACTGGAACCTAAAACATCTTGTTGAAAAGGACTGTGATGGGCCATTCCTAAGCTCAAGAGGGTCACCAATAATTTCCTAATTGCCAAATCCAATGGTCTCTCCTCAGGGCTCACTCTCCTTGGGGATTCTGCAGAATTTGACACAGTTGACCATCCTCTCCTTCCGGATGTGTATATATATATATATATATATATATATATATATATATATATACACACACACACACATACATTTTTTTTCTCTCCTAGCTTTTATAACACTATTCTTTCCTGGTTTTCCTTCTTGATTTGGTCTTTTTTGCCAGTTCACTATGCTCCAACTCTTTACCGTATGTAAAGGATGGACAGGTATTGACAGATACTGGCTCAATTGTAAATATTGAGTGCATACCAGTTTAAGCTGTGATTTGGCATAAATCACAGGATTACCATAGGATCACACATTTCAAATTGGAAAGACCCATATCAGTCATCTGTAAGAGGGGGGTGTCTCATAGCTCAAACCCAATGAATGTAACTAAGAAAATGTTCTGTGTCCTGATTACCTTATCAAAGGAAGATATCTCTTTGATGGATTAACTGTAGGCTGCAAGGGGGGAGGGGGGAGAGAATTAGCCCAAAGAGAATATAACCTTCCCCTTCCCTGACCACTGATCTCATCACTGCAGAAACAGGACCAGTTACAAACAGTGCATCTAGCCTGAGAGAGGATAAAATAGACATATAGAGAGAAGTTCACTTCAGAACTCTTTAATGGTTCCATTTCTTGGGGCCAAGAAGGAAGCTACACATATCTCAGGGGAACTTCATGATGTCTCCATAAAAGGAGACAAGACTTCCATCCAACCAGGAACTGTGAGTTACCCTTTTGCCACATGTGTTCTCTAAGCTTGAGTCTATTTTTCTCTGGACTCTGTATGTACTTGTGGGAGAACATGTCTCAGATGTTGGGAGGATTTTTAAAAATTAGGTTTTTACTATACTTTTATCAGTAAATATCTCTCTGATAATTAATGTTGGGAGAGACTAACTGGTTAAATGTTATTTCTGAAGCATACTCTTTGGGGCTCATGAACTGTAGTATTAGAATACCACACCCAACCTCTCAGTATTACCCTTATGTAAGGAGAAGTAGTTAACTGCTCTCTGGAAACCCAACCTGCCAGTGAGAATGAAAATTGGTAGAGTGAGCCTAGGGAGCCTATGTAACATATCCAAACTCTTTCATTCTACATATATATGGAAACCAAGAATTGCTCATAGACACAAATACAGTGATAAGCTGATCTGGGATTTAAATTCAGGTCTTCCGACATCAAATTCTATTTAGGAAATTTGACATATCTCACCTGTTACAACTTTTTGATGCAATCAACATTAAAGTTGCTTGCGTTTATACATCCTTTGCCCTGTACCTATCTACTCGCTCTGTACCTACCATGCATCTTCTTCTTATAGATGGACTAATAAGGCAGGATCTCAGGAGATACAGAAGAGAGGCTTCCAGGAAAGCAGAGGAGCAGAGCAAGAAGTAATTACTAAGAAAGGATACATCCTCAGCATTATGACTTCCCCTCCCTCCTCCTCATTCACTTATTCTCTCACTCCCCCTTTGCCACTCTCCCCTTCCCCTTATTTGGAGCAGAATGGGAAGGCCAAACCAAAAGCTGGGAAAAGTATGAACTCAAGACTAGAGTCAGAATGAAGCTATTGCCATCACTTTGAGAACAGCCAGTAAAGCAAAGGGATAAGGGTGGAGGGTTATAAATAAAGACAAGAAAAATGTATGATCCCTTTGGAACAAAGCCCATAAGGCTATAAAGCTGTGCGTGCCCTTTGATGTAGCAATACCACTATTAGGTCTGTATAACGAAGATCAAAGAAAATGGAAAAGGACCTATATGTACAAAAATATTTCTAGCAGCTCTTTTTGTAGTGACAAAGAATTGGAAATCAAGGGAATTCCTATCAGTTGGGGAATGGCCAAACAAGTTGTGGTCTATGAATGTGATGGAATACTCTTATGCTATAACAAATGACGAGCTGGATGCTTTCAGAAAAACTTGGAATGATTTACATGAACTAATGCAAAGTGAAGTGAACAGAACCAAGGGAACATTGCACATACAATAAATACAACAATATTGTATGATGACCAACTGTGAATGACTTAGCTATTCTCAGCAATACAATGATCCAAGACAATTTTAAAGGCCTTATGATGAAATATGCTGTCCACCTCCAGAGAGAGAACTGATGAAGTCTGAATGCAGATTAAAGCTTACTTTTTTTACTTTCTTTATTTTTCTTTTTTGGTCTGTGTTTTGTTTTGCAACATGACTAATACGGAAATATGTTTTGCATGAATACACATGTATAATCTATATCAAATTGCCTTCTCAAGGAGCAGGGAGGGGAGGGAAAGAGTTTGGAATGCAAAATATTTTAAAAAACAAATGTTAAAAAAATTTTACATGCTATTGAGAAAAAATAAAACAAGAGAGAAAAAACTATGCTCCTTGTTCCAAGAGATGGGCCATCTGCCATCCCTTTCAATTTTGATAGCTACAGGGTTAAAATTTGTAAGAAGTAAAAAACATATGGGGGGGAGGAGGAGGAGAAGAGGCGTGGAGACTATCCAGCAGCTGGTCCAGGTGAAGGATGGGCCTCTATTGTTTTAGAAATAACCCTGCTCATTTCGGTGCTATTAAGAAATATATAACCTGAGGATTTTTTTTCTTTGCCAAGCATACCAAGCAACTGACTTCTGTGACACCCCCTGTGGAGTAGCCTTTTTGAATCCAGCAGGTGGTCCTTGAGAGGACTGATGACAACAGTCTCATTTATTGAGAGTACTTTTAAGATGTGTGAAACACTTTTTTGTTTAGTCATTTTCAGTTGTGTCTGACCCCATTTGGGGTTTTCTTGGCAGAGATACTGGAGTGGTTTGCCATTTCCTTCTCCAGCTCATTTTACAGATGAGGAAACTGAGGTAAACAGGGTGAAGTGACTTGCTCAGGGTCACACAGCTAGTAAGTGTCTGAAACCAGATTTGAACTCAGGAAGAGGAGTCTTCCTGACTCCAGGCCCAGTGCTTTGTCCATCGTACCACCTACACATATCTTATTTGCTTTTTACAACAACCCTTTGAAGTTGTTCCTATTGTTATCCCCTTTTTTCAGATGAGGAAACTAAGGTGAAAGGGTTTACATAGCAGCTAAATGTCTGAGGTGGGATTTGAAACGAGGTCTTCCTCACTCCAAGTCTATCACTTTGTCCACTGTACCACTCTAAGAAAAAGGGAGGAAGAAATATAGTCACTTATCTTGGAGGTTTTAGGCATAGGCTGTGGAGGTAGTCCAGTGCCTAAGTCTTTTGGGGTCACACATGTGTAGGTAGTAGGGTCACTAACCACAGGTAAGGGGTATAGCTGTACCAGGTCTAACATGAGAAGGGGTTCAAAGCTCCCTCCCCCCGCTACCTGCTGCTCAGCCCCAACCCCTTTGGTGTTGTTGTGGCTACCTCTTCCTGCAGCACCTGTAGGGAAGAGACACTCCATTGTCTTCTATTTCTCTTGCTTTCTCCCTTTTGCCTCACGATGTTCCACAGGTGGGTGGTAAGTAAAGACCGACATGAGGGTGGTGTTTATAACTCAGTCTGTCTTTTTTTTTTTTTTTTAAATTATTTGTTTATTTATTTTTAGTTTTCAATATTCACTCCCATAAGATGTTGAGTTTTAAATTTTCTCCCCCTCCTTCTCCTCCTCCCTCCCCAAGACAGTGTGCAATCTGATATAGGCTCTACTTATACGTTCATATTAAGCATGTTTTCACATTAGTCATGATGTACAGAAGAATTAGAACTAATGGGAGGAAACACAAGAAAGAAGGAATAAAACAAAACAACAAAAGAAAAGGAGAGAAATTAGTATGCTTCCATCTGCATTCAGACTGCATAGCTCTTTCTTTGGATGTGGATAGCATTTTCCATCATGTAACTCAGTCTGTCTCGAAGAGAACTGGGTTATTGTTTTCAGAGGATCATAAAATAATAGAATTAAAATGACCTGCTTTTTA